ATTACTGACCTCTGTCATCATTTTAAGTGGGGGAACTTGCACAATCGGTGGCTGACTAAATACTTTTTTGCCCCACTGTACGTCTTATCATGCCAGAAGTCAGTCAGCAGTGCCGGCTTGATACCAGATCCGGGCCAGACCTGCTTGCTATGTGGGAAGCTTCTGTCATAATACTAACTTGATATTTGATCACTTTTCTTGGCAGAATTGATAAGTTTCCTGGGACAGACCCAGCTTTTGAAGTGAAGTCCACATATTTTCAGTAGGGTTGAGGTCGGGCTTAATATTAGCTTAAATTTATCCATTCCAAAACCAGTTTTAATCTGTGTTTGGGATCATTGTCCTGTTGGAATACCCAACTGTGTCCACGGTTCACCCATGTATGTACCAGTACAACTAGCAGCAAAACAGCCCCAGATCATGATGCTACCACCATGCTTCACAGCTGGTACAGTGTTCTTAGGTTTACAGCCTCACCTTTATACCTATAAACATACCTGTTATTCAGCGAGGGCAAAGAGCTCCATATTTGTCTCGTCTGAACATAAAACTTTCTTCTTCTTCCAGATCTCGGAAAAATGAACTGATGATTTCTAAATCTGCATTTGTTCAGAAACGACTACAAGAGATTTTCCCAATGTGTGTAAATCTACAATTCTTCTTCTTAGATCCTCATTTGGTTCTTTAGACGTTCCCATTGTTATGAGCATTGGTCAGTCAGCTGACAAAGCTGACAAAGAGAAACTACCAGTAGTAGTCAAACATGATTATTGGAGAGGAGTTAACACACCTTGGCCTTGTCAAACTTAAAGACAATGTAGAACATTCGGCACTATATCTATTAAATATTTAAATGATTGTATTTATACTCTGGACCTTGTGTGGATTGGAGAAAATCCAAAATGCGTTCAAGCTTCTCCCCACGATTCATGTTCCTTTAGAGTAATTAGATTACATGTACAATCCTTCCGCCCTGGAAAAAGAGCAGTTCAAAGGAATCATTAAAACTGCTAAATTACCATGATGTTCAATCCTGACGGATGTAAACCATGAAGAACAGTTTTATTTTATTTAGACCGAGCAGGATTTTTTTTTATTTTTTTAGACCGAGCAGGATTTTTTTTTTAGTTTTTTAGACCGAGCAGGATTTTTTTTTTAGTTTTTTAGACCGAGCAGGATTTTTTTTTTATTTTTTTAGACCGAGCAGGATCTTTTTTTATTTTTTTAGACCGAGCAGGATTTTTAAATGGGCACTAATGTGCTCATTTCCAGCTCCATGTTTTCATTTGAGAAAAGTAGCTATGAATGATTTAGTGTCCCCTCATGTCTTCATAGAGTTTTACATATGCTGATAAGGATTTATGTAGGCTATAGTGGTAACATATTTTTGTGAGGTATGCTCCTGTTTTTAACAACGTGATTTAATTTCTTATTTTGTCCTCGTGTTCTGTATGTAAAGCAACATACCTTTTGCCCCTGGCAGGTTTCCCCTCAGGGCCAATAAAGATGCTTTACTTTCTTACTTTATTTACTTTTACTTCATCACGGCTGCTTTTCAATATATTTTACATATATTTCCTGTACTAAACATTTCCAAGGGCACTGCTTTCAAACTCACAGACACCTCAAGGACCTCATTACTATGTAACTGTACTTTTGTCTCAGGAGTCCCTTCCTTTGGCAGTACCAGCAGGCAGCTACTTATAAGTCACTTAGTTAACCTCAAATCCTCGTTTAGCTTGCATCGGCAGTGTGGCTTACTGTAAAGGACAAACTGTGACCAAACAAATCCTCGTAATATATTAGTCCCTTTAATGGATAAATGTTTGTTTGTTTGTTTGTTTTTTAAAAGCACATTTTCATAGTTTCTTGCTGTACATATAAACCCACTGGTAATATTCACATGAAAACAAATATGTAAAAATATTCTATCTATGATAGTGATTCTCATGCAGATCAAAATGCCACATGTAAATGCACAGATGAGCCAAAACATTAGGACCGGTCTTCTCGTAAATCAGGTGAATTTGGTGAAACCCCTGACACCTGCAGTCTTTGACACGACCGGCAGGTTGCAAAACAAGCCTGAATGCACGGAAGTCTATGAAAACACAAAAAAACATTTCTCATTTTTCTGAGATCTTAGTAAACACTTTCAATTATTCTTCAACATAGCATTTTATGAACACAGTAAAAAAAAAAAAAAAAAAAAAAAAGGGGCCATGTCCATCTTTGCTATACAGTCTATGGGAAAGGCCTGATACACGACCACCTAAACGGCACCGTGTTTTTGTGAGTACTCCTGGTCAGCAGAGGAGAGTACCAGCGGTGTGTGTTGCAACAAGTTTGATCTGCAGCAACTCCAAAACACGGTTTCCTATATTTAAAAGTTCTGATGTTGCGCTACTCGAGCACTTTACTCAAGACAAAGTAGAGTACCCCAACAGCTTTTTGTAAAAGTCAAACTTAATCTTCTTTAATGCATTATTCCACTGAGTTATTTACAGTAGATGCCCAAATCCAAACACACACACACACACCTACATACACACACACACACACAAACGTAGATATGCACACCTATACAGTGCAATCAGTAGCTTTCTTTCTTCCATGGCTATGCATCTTGGCTCAAACAGTCACCTCTGCACTCAACACAGTCCTTCATCGATGCCCCCTGAGTTGATTTCTGAGTATCTTCTGTATCTTCTCCCTTTACTGCTCGGCCGATCCAGTGGTATCATCGCTTTCAGCTCCCTGCGGAGAACCGGGAATGGATCCTCCGACCGACCCGCCGTCTCTTTCTCCCACTCTTCTCGCGGCCTTGCTCTTCAGCAGGGGGCTGTCAGGGTGAAGTGAGTGGAGATGGATGAGCAGCGCATCCTGAGTTGCCGCCGTGTGGCCGCACTCCTCGCACACGTACAGCTTGTTGCGTCGCTCCTTGTAGGCGTACTTCAGGGTGACGCTGTGGATCTTCTTCATGTGGGACTCCAGAGAGCAGCGCTGGGTGAAGGCCTTGTCGCAGAAGTTGCACTTGTATGGACGGACGCCTGTGTGGAAAATGAAAGGAACATCATCCGTTACCTCTGTGTACGTGTGGAGGTCTGAATATGCCAAAAATGATATAATATATACTTGCACTTTTAAAAATTATTCACTTATGAGGTCATTTTTAAAATTTTAATTGTGTACATTTTGTACACTTGTTTTATGTTCTAAACACACAAAGTGAGTGGCTACCTGTATGTGTGCGCACATGTCTTTTGAGGTCGAAGGTGTCGTTGAAGCCTTTGCCGCAGAAGCTACACAGGTGTCTCTTTGTCTCGTTGTGACACTTGATGTGTCTGTTCAACATCCGCTGGTACTGGAAAGTCTTCTGGCAAACCTGTAAATGAAGCAACAACACGACAATCAGGTCAGGGCACTTCCACACTTCGCCGACCTTCAGCCACCTTTCGTTTTTCTTGTGGACAAACATTAGCCAAGTTTACAGTCAGTGTTTATCTTTGTGTGAGGCATTCTGTGCAAACTGCACCTATGTAACACGTCTCTAACCACGTCTTATCTTATATATGTAATTAATATATAATAACACAATTTATAGGGTTTTTTAATGCAGTGGGTGTTTGAGATAAAATTAGGTTGCATTTGGCAGCTATGATGGCAGTGTTTCTACACATCATTTAGTTTTACAAAAGTAATAAAGCTGAAATGTGTATTTCAGGTTCTACGATCATAACGCACAAAAAAAAAAAAAAAAGGGATACGAACCTGGCACACGAACGCTCCTGTCGACCCACTTTGACTTTGACCCGTGGATCTGGTCACCATTGGGACCGGCTCTGGGAGGGGTGGGGTCGGTGCAGGAGGAAGTGCAGCTAATGGTTGCGGAGTGGGAATGAGAGGAAGAGCCAGAGCAAGGGGAGCTGGATCTGGGGGTAACTCGCCTGTAGTTACCTGAGATGGGAAAGAAAGACATGATTCACAATGCCATCCATAAATAATAATAAATCAGTCTAAGACCTTGTACAGTAACACAAAATTCTACCTTGTAAACTCAATCAAAAATATTTTGACACGTTGTGCTGCGCTCTGTCCCTCTCAGTTCTTACCTTTATTTTGGCTCGGAAGTACGTGGAGCTGGCCTGCGGCCTCCTCTTGATCTCTGATCTCCCCTCTGGTAAACCCGCCGGGCTCTGGGGTCTGCCGAGCACCGTGCTGGAGGGCAGTTCTGGGTGAGTTTGTGTGTCAATGGTAGAGTGTTTGGTGAGGCAGAGGGGCGTGGTCATCTGAGTTGTCTCAGCGGGGCTGGCCTCCACCTCCATCATCAGGATGGACGGAGGAAAGACGGAGACTGCAGAGAGGAGAGAAAGAGAAAGAGGAAGTGTCATGTGTCATGTCTGAATTTCCTTCTTTGACACCTCCAAAATTTCCTGAGGGAAAAATCCGGTGATTCAGCTTCCAAATGATCCCCTGTGTATGGATGTTACATTACTACAGGGGCCTTTTAGCAGCACTGACCTGAAATTAGCAATAAAGCCGAGGAGAAACTTCAGATTCTTCTTGGCTTTATAATTCTCCTCAGATTATCTTTTGTCTCTTTTATTGTGTCATTTCATTATTGATATGTTACTTACATTAACAATAATTGTAGCCTATTAAAGACATACAGACAGCAGTTAAGTTTAATTCCACTTGCCTTTGATTGTATATTTTATTCTTTTATACAGAAAGTCTCTTAAATGTTAATAATTCGAAATAAAACCTCACATAGAAGCTCACATTGTGTGCTTCTACTAAACTTTTACTAAGTTACAAAGAAAAACAGGCAAATGCATTTTTGCATGGACAATAACCCAAAAAGTCTTAATCTGAAATTTTTATTTTTTTCTACCACTGTTGCAAAACACAACTTATAAGCTTAACTAAAGGTTAAAAAAGACAAGAAATGTCTTTAAAAGGGGGTCAGAGGGTGAGAGAGTCACGTATGAGGACAAATTCAGTGCAATGTACAGAATTTCACAACAAGCGGTCGGCTTGCACTGCTTTATATTTGCACAATTAGCAAAGAACCACAGCTAAATAGGAGTGTGTACTTGTGTTTGTGTGTGTGTGGGTGTGCACAGGTTTTTTTCCTATTGTTTAGTACGACTTCTGCAACCTCACCACACACACACACACACACACACACACACACACACACACACACACACACACACACACACACACATACACACAGATTACCATTACTTGTTTGACCAGACAGTCTTGCAGCACCAGCTTTTTACCTTCCTCAAACAATCCACCTCCGCAGGGGTGTGTGTGAGTGTGTGTGTGCATACACTGAACCAACTGCATGTATGATTTGTGCAAAACACAACAAAACGTCACTGAAAGAACCAGAGACAAGCCATTCAACTGACAGTAAAACACAGAGAGGCGTGCAGGTGTGCAGGGGTGTGTGTTACTCAAAGGCAGGCGTGGCTGAGCTCAGCCGAGACAACGAATCAGTTGAATGTGCCGTCGGGCCTCAATCAGATAAAACCCAAATGTAAATGCAAATGAAGTGAGCTATATGAAGAGAAGACATAAAGCCAGTCTGTGAAGCAGCCGGATTAACGGAACGCTGAGAGAAACAGTGACAGCTCTATGCAACATCAACGCCACAACTGGTGAAGACATATCACTCTTCCAGCCTCTGTGGGTCTCCGGGTTGGGTTTACAGTGACGGCTCAAACAGGCCAACGGCTCAAAATAAACCCGGTGAAAGACTTGAGCATTATTTGGTTAAACAAACGCATTCAGTGCTGTAGTACTAACCTCCCTGCTCTCCCTACGATTCTGATTAAAATAGATCAAGCTAAGGCACACACTGAGATCATTCCACACAAGAAGAGACTCCTCCAATCATGTATTCAAAACCAGCTCTGCAGGTTATTTGTACAAACAGCTGAATTTCAGTATGTGCATTGAAAGGTGACAGTTAGATGAGAGGGCAACTTGGTGAAACTCATAGTTGAAAGTCGGATTTATTTATAGAAGAAACTTTTGTGAAACACATTGGACATCAGACCATCAGTAAGATGCCTCACTGAGCATTTTCTAGCGTTTTAAACCCTCAGTCACAAATGTCTATAGCAGGAGTGGGGAACTCCAGACCTCGAGGGCCGGTGTCCTGCAGGTTTTAGATATCACCCTGGGTCAACACACCTGAATCAAACGATTAGTTCATTACCAGGCCTCAAGGAGAACTTCAAGACATGTTGAGGAGGTAATTTAGCCATTTAAATCAGCTGTGTTGGATCAAGGATACAGCTAAAACCTGCAGGACAACGGCTTTTGAGGCCTGGAATTCCCCATCCCTGGCCTAGAGACAGGTGGCGTGTGATCCCCAGCAACCACAGGTCGCTGTGGCAATCCCCCGACTGGTAGGAGACTGGTTACTGGAGGTAACTGGCTCTTGCCAGATAAAAATCAGTCGTAAAGACGTTGCTGCACCAACAACCTCTTTGATTGCTTTGGTGACCAACAAGTCTCTACTAGTCTGGAAACACTTGTCAACTACACGCCGAGAAACCTGTAAAACTTGAAAAAGTGCAGCGCAAGCTAGAAACGAAGAGTGGTCACCTTCAGAGTACATGCTGCGGCCTCTGTTTGCTACCAACATGTGTCAAAGGCAGAACTTTTTTACTTGAAGAGAATTTTCTTCATTTCCAGTTTGTTACAGTCTTCATAGTTTCACTACTGCTCTGTGAGCAGTTGGCAAGTGTTTGCAGACAAGTTGGCATCTTACATGCAAACTACAGGCATGCTGCTAGAGACCTTTGGGAATACAAATTTTTCCTTGGTGAACTCTAGTTGCCAGGTTGTGGCCAACTGGTGACCAGGATGTTGATAACCATTTATTTCCCAGCAACCACTTGCAACCAGTGTGGGAATACTAATTATTCAGTAGTTCCAAAGGGCTGTCAGGCTGATCTGCCAGCCTGTGTGACTGAGGGCTTAGAGGAATTTAAGAAAAAAATGAAATGTCGCTGGACATAATCACTGTCTATAGCAAGTGATCAATCCAGCTGTGGAATATTCACGACTATGTCAGTGAATGAAATGGTTAATGGACTTATTTTGATGTTTTTGGTGTATAAACAGCATTTTGAAAAATGCTCTTGTTGAAAAAAATTGAACAATAAACTCTTAAAAGTTTAAAGAGTTTATATTTACAATCATTTACAAAGGTAGTGAAGCCTCACATTTCAAAGAAAGAAGTGGCAATGATCTGAGTTTATTGCTTATAGATCCTTATAAAGTCAGTAATGATTAACAAACTTATTGGCCAATCATTTTCCTATAAATGAGGCTTAATGATAAAAGTTCTTAGAGAGACTTTATGACTTTTAAAATGAGAGATCTTTTGTTTTTAAGTCACTACATGCCTGTACCATGACTGTATCCTCGCTTCAGTGCCTGAAAGACTCGCATCTTCAACATTAGCATTTCACATTTCATGAACAAATCTGTTAATCAAATTATCTCCATGAGGAACTTGATCTCCACATTTAGTTTCATCTGCAGTTTAAAACTTTTTGAACCTGTTTCTGGTGTGTGACACAAAACGTGTGCTATCTGCCACCGAGAGCCTAATCCTATGATTAAAAGCCGCCGAGATGATCAGAAATTTTCACTGTACTTCTTTACCACGTTTTCAAATCCTTCTTAATTACTCCTGAGTGCTGATAGTTTCTGTGGTGATTGCTGCTGGCTGGACATTTAATCTCATCTTGTATTGTTTGTTCACCTCTCCTGCCCCTTTGACCAATAAATGAGGTAGGTGTGTGTGTGTGTGTGTGTGTGTGTGTGTGTGTGTGTGTGTGTGTGTGTGTGTGTGTGTGTGT